GATTGTTGCGTGTGGGGTAGTGTGGACGGGGTCTCAATCGGATCTGTCCTTCGTACGTCATTTCAGAGAATTCCATCTTTCTCTCAGTGAAATTCTTGTCCTGCTTGTAAAGAATTTGTGTGTTCTCGTGTCATCCTTAGTAAGGTAGTCTAGCAAATGACAAGATGTATGGGTTACTGACCAAGTTTGTTCAGTCAAGATGGCTGGATATTGGCCAAGTTCCTTTTTTGTGTGTTTATGGACCGAGACGGAGTCGAGGTAAAGAACGAGGACAACGTCCAGCCATCTTGATCGAACAAACTTGGTCAATAAATGAGTTGTTATATGGACTTCTATGAACCTGCCTCGGCTTCGGCGAAAATTTTTTCTTGCGGGACACAGGGTGTAATCCCGAGCGATGGCGCCATCTTGTCCGCTCGGGTAGCCAATCGCATCGCAGGATTTGCTTCATCTTGCCCGCTCACAAAGCTAGCGATATGATATTTAACGTTACTGTTTGTCATTTTCTAGTCCACAGCCATCGTCAAGAAACTGAATCGAATACAGGAGCACATGTTGAGGAAATATGACCCAGAACTGTGGGTTCACATGAAGAATTTAGACATTACACCTCAAGTCTATGGACTGTAAGTAAATAAAAGAAAAATAACCTTGTGTGCTGTGTCAGCGCCACTCAAAGTCAAGCATATTTTTGCTCGTAAATTAACACGCCGCGTAAAATTACAAGCCACGTGAAATTACGCGGCGCGTTAATTTATTGTCGATTTTCATTGAGTTGAAATTTTAAGTTTGTTTATGGATTTGGTGATTTTGATGCAATAGAGAAAACGCGTGAACAGCCCGTAGAAATTACACATTACTTTAAGGCGTCTCCCTTTTCCTCCAGTTTTCCGCCAGTTACAGAGTTCAACCAAAGAAAAGAAAAGCATATAGAATCAGTTGTAATCAAATGCATTTGAAGCTTATTAGAATAAAACGCGTTGTTACTTACCTTTTTTAAAGGTAAAAGTGTTCTTTTATTAACAGTCGCTGGATTCGCTTGTTGTTTGGTCGTGAGTTTCCAATGGACGACGTTCTGGTGATCTGGGATGCTCTGTTCGCGGATGGGCCTATGTTAGACTTGGTAGATTATATTTACATCAGCATGTTGGAGGCGATCAGAGATAAACGTATGGTTGTTTAATCATAATTCCTAGTATTTTCTAACCATAGTTGTTGCTTTTGAGCCACCTCGCGTGTTGACGGTTCTGTATCATGCGTTTGCCTGCGAACAAGTTCTCTTGAATTGCAGAAGGTTCTTCTACTCAAAAACTGCCAAGAGGGCTTGTTCGTATAGTAAGCTTGCATTGGTTGCGGTCGGTTGCGAAATAGCGGTTCCCACAAGCCGCTGGGACGCGTGACAATCCAAATTACTTGTTAATGTAGCAGAACACTTTGCGCTGGTAATGCGCCCTTCTATTAGCCAAACGACCTTATTTCCATGTGCTTGGCCATGACTGAATCGCTTGTTTACAATTATTTCGAGAAAAATCGTAACAGCGTACGCGATAATGTTGAAAGGTATTGTGGGTAGAGTTTTTTTTTTTTTGTATATTATGGGTAGAGTTAGTTTACCACTGATGGACATCAAACAATGTTGAACCACCGCCACCCCTTAAGGCATTATTGTGTATTTTAACGCTTTTATAGGACAACCATTCAGGAAAGAGCTCTATATAAACCGCCTTGCATAGTACATCTTCCGTTTGTGATTTTTGGCATTTTAATAAGTTAAAACTTTTTACTGTCTTTCTGTTGGTGCCCAGTCCTTTCAGGGAGCTATTCGGCCTGCATGGGTTATCTGATGAAATTTCCCCGTGTCTATGATGACGTTTACCGTTACGTCAAAAGTGCGTTGGTAATGAGAGAAAACAAGGTACGTAGTGAGTAGTTATGGGAGCACGTCTTGGATGTAGCCAATCAGATTGCAGGATTTTGATCGCGTGATCCAAATTGATCAATCCGAGCTGGATTTCAATATTCAATTCTCGACGCCATTTTTTTCGACCGCGCTCTATCAGGAGAGAATGGAATGTTGAAATCCAGCTTTCTGATAGGTCAATTTGGATTGCTTGACACAAATCCTGCAATCTAATTGTTATCATCCCAGATGCGCCCGGTGCTAACTTAAAAAATAATTGTTTCATGTGAGTGAAAGAAAAAATCGATCGAGGTGCCGAAGCCGACGCTTAAAAATGATTATTTCATATGCATCTGGCGCCTCTCTTAGTGAAGCGCTAGAGTGAAAGTTTGATCCTTTGAAACTAACCTTATCCATTTCTTTTGCATTGTCCAACACTTGAAGCCATCATCAGCTCGATCCAGTCCCCGGCTGTCACGTGCGTCAGCGCCTCGCCCCATAGATTCATCCGGGACACTCCCTATGAGAAAGGTAACTCGCTTCTTTTGACTGCTGTGACAAGTGATTTTTCAGCGAACGTAACTAGGGATGCTTTGTTGCCATAGAAACCGGGACCAAAGAAAGCGCCGTCTGCTTTCACATCGTTCACCAAGCGATATCAGCAGTTTATGGAACCAACCAAGCAAATATCTGATAAGCCCACAGAGAAACCGCTGAACCAAAAGACGCTGAGTATTAACAGCAATGGTAAGTTACTACCCTAACTATAAGTCTTTTTAAATATACCAAAACTTATAAGACGAAATCTTGTAAGTAACTCCAAACGAATAGTTATCATTTTGAGAACAGTGTTACTGTTTTTATGTACAATACAATACAACACAAATGTTATTAGCACTCCCAATGGGGGCTTTTCAGTACTAATGCTACTAAATAAGTTACATTAAAATTAAAATGAAATAAATCAACGTACCAAGGAATTATAAAAGTGATATGAAATAAGGTAGAATTATGTGACAATATTGTATTATGAAAATGACAATTAACGTAAGAGTTTACCTTGTAATCTTCGTTTAAAANTGTCTACGGGCTTAATGCATTAACGATAAAAAGTAAGGGTTTTTTTTCTTTAACCGTATGGGATAGTGAGAACAGATAGATGATTCTTTTAGTAAAGAAGGCTTTTAATGGAACTCAGTCACGGTATTTTGTGCCATTTTGGCTAGGCACAAAATCACCTTTAAATTGAAGGAAAACCTGAAAATAGTTGTGTACTAAGATAGAAAAACACCAAAGAGATAATAATAAACCATAGAGGACCAAGGATGGCTAAGGATGGAGAAGATTGACACGGATCACAAACAACGAACTTGAAATATTTAGGCCAAACTTTTCAAGATGCGCAAACTTTGACGTAGCTCCTGTAAGTGGGAATGGGGGGATTTATAAGGAACGAGATGGACCCTAAACACGGGGCCACGGGGCAAGCAATAGGCTGATAACTGAGAGGAAATCTACAGTAATTAATGAAATAAACAACTTTACCAAGCATTGCTATACATGCATGTCCAACAGGTACGAGACTTGCTGAAAGGGACTTTGGCGTTCCGTGGCTCAACAATGGAAACAGAGTGTGACTTTATGGAGATTGATAACAACATTGCTGCTCGTCTACAAATCCCCTCACTACAACAACAGAAAGAAAAAGACAGCGGTCTGCCCGAAGGTCTTCCTGTTCCAATGCTTGCCAACTTTGGTCATTTTGAGAATTCAGACGAGAACGAAAGTAGTTTTATGTCGGGTGATGGCGGAGAAGAACAGAGGGGTGAATCTACGGGTTCCGACGAGCAAGCCAAGGGAAACGATGAATGCGGCTTAACAGCGACTGAAACAACGGAAAATGATCAAAAACAGATTGTGGAAGAGTTAGAAAATCTCAACACAGAGATTACCTCGGTAAAGCAAGAGGATAACGGAGAATATCCAAAGCAAAATATTGCTGTTTGCGGAGGGGCTGTTAAGGATGACAGCAAGGATCTGTTTGCTAGTTTTGGGGATGGACCTGGTAATGTGGAGTCCATTCTTTCAAATCCTTTGTTTTGTGGAGAGATTCAGGCTAATGACTCCGAGCAAAGGATTCACGTTGATAATTCAAACACCGCAACTCTGTTTGGATCTAACGCTGAGTGCAGGATTGACAATGAGACGGGCCAGTTGGACAATCAACGGTCAGTTCTTCACGGTCACAAGGGTACCGTTGTTGACACAAGTACTTCAAGTGAGACTGATCCTTTGTTTAATCCATCTGAAGCAAAAGCTACAAACCCGCTCAATGAACGGCGAAACCCAAATGACATTTCTGCTGAACAGCTGTCTGGCGCTGAGTCTCTTGACCCTGACTTTGTGTTTGTCAATCGCGACGGAACTGCTGAGGGCGAGCCCAGACCCCCGCGGCATCCTCTGGAAACCAGCGACGAATTTTAACGTAACTGGAAAAGATTTTCAGTGATTACAAATTTCAGGCAAATTAAATATCATTTTGTATTCAAATTGTTTTTGAAAGGTCTATTTACTTTGTGTTAGAATTTTGTAATTTTGGACTACTTTGTCGCAGATGGTAGATAATTTTAACTGAATTGCGCTTGAGCCATCAATATTTCAGTGCATTTAGGAAAATGAACTATAATTTTAGAATTTAAATTCAAATGCGTTGAGTCAATTAGAATGAACAAATATTTTGTGGGTAACTGCCCCAGTGCAACATTATTTCAAAAGACATTTCATTAGTTTTCCAGATTTTCAGTTCGTAACATTACTGAGTACCAATTATTAGCTAAATATTCAAATCAAGATTTCCCTTGGCGGGAAGGTGTGCAACCTCGTTTCCAGGGAGATGAAATAACCTGGGAACGAGGTTGGGAAGAAGAAGGAAACGTCTTCTCCAGAACGTCTAAGGGAAAGAGTTTTTGACGCTAGTTAATTAAATTAAATGCCACTACTTTTGGGAAATGAAGAAGCTGTATAAATTTTTTTTTTCTAGTTACCAAAAATGCAAATTGTTTCAGGCTCTCATAACTTGGTCGTTTCTTTTTCATTTTGTCTTTTTCTGCAAAATTCTGAGAGTCTTGAACAGTCCAAATAGAATTAGGGAGATAATTTCAAGTACAAGGCTTAGTAAATTGCTTCGTTGGACACCACCTCGGAAGCCGGACATTTGCAGTATTGTACAAAGAAAAAAATCGCCATACACGGTTGACAGAAAATTTAAATGAAAGAGATCTCTGCATTAGTGAGGCAAATTGAATAGTTGTGAAGTGACAAAAGGTCACGACTCTGTTTCACAGTTAAGTCTAAAGTTTTTTTTTCTGGTTTTCTGGTGAGATACCCGTTGAATTCTGGAACGAGATTTCCCGGTTCGAACGACGGTCAGGGTCATTGTGTTCTTTGCGCAAGACACCTTTTTTGAGGGGGAGGGGTGGAAGGCACTTACCTCTCCCCACTCAGGAGTATAAATGGGTACGTAGGGTTGCTAGGGCAACCTGATACAATGCTGGTGGTTAACCTGTGATGGACAAGGCGGTGGTGGGGGGGAAGCCATACTTCTAGTCGCTTCATTTGTGGGAAAGTTTAACCCTAGCCTAGACAAACTGCGTCTTTTATTTTTTCAAATTGTAATTTGCTTCACAACTGCAGAGTTTACTTCAATTAAGAATTAATTTAGATATCAGTAGAAAAGAGCTATATGGATAACCAGGAAATCAATAAAGATGTCGAAAACGAAGTGTCATCTTTTCTTAATTAAGCTTGGCTTAAACATTCGATAAAGTTGTCTTAATACTAAGAGACTTGGCCCTCTTCTATTACAGTCTTGTTCATGGGTTAATGTAGAGGGACAAAACAACTCGGGATAATATAGTAATTTGATAACTTATTTATTTACCTCTTGAAATTTAATATATACAGGCCTTCAAAGTAAATATGGGATAGACTATTTTTAGGACTTTTTTGCCTCTGTTTCAAAACGAGTCCTGGTGCGAAACCTTGAACATGAAAAGGAACTTAATTCAAAAGTCAACTCGTGGAAATCAAACATTTTCGTAAGAAAGAATATTACACCTAATTTCATTTTAGAGAAAGACCAAAGTCATTTTGAAAATACTGAGCCTATTAACCTCTTTCTCTTTTCTAACTTTGATATATTACATCTAACGACTTGAACGCGCTCACTTTTTTAATCTAATGTATCTTTAAATAAATAGCTTGGAACTTTCCGCTTTTAAACGGTTAGAGAAAAAGCTAACTAAATTGTAAAAATATGTAAGTTATGTCTCCTTGCAAAAACAACGAAACTTTATATTACATTTATATGCTAACTAGAAACAGGTCTAACGAAAAGTAAACTCAATATGGTTCTTACCATTCGCAAAACTAGAACAAAATCTTTCAAAACTATCTGTGCGCCAGGACTTATCTCGTTTCACATGACCAATTTCAAACGTTACTACATTATCGACACACTTGTTCTAATTCTAACAGACTAACTGTAGCTGGAAAGGGTTGACAAATCTTG